AAAGAGTTTAAAACTATATATATGTGTATATATATACATATATATATAGTTTTAAACTCTTTTTAAAAACTCTTTTTTTTTTTTTTTTTTTAACATTCCACTTATAAATTATTTTCTTATTTTACAGTTCAAAAAAACAACAACCAGAAATGATCTCTTTTGTTAAAATAAAGATGGAAAAAACAAAACATGCTTGACAAACCATCCAGAAGTTTATTTTATTTTATTTTTTATGATAATTTGACATTTGACTATAAAATGATACTATTTTGACTATATCTGAACCATCTAAAATATCAGTAGTTTTAAGATATTAAGATATTTGCCATTATTATTATTAGAAAATAAAATACATTACAGACTGGAAAATGATATATATATATATATATATATATAATTTCTTGCCTGTTTCATTACTTTTTAAAAAAAAAATAATTCAGTTAAACCATAGTAATGTCTGATTTTCATTGCTTCATTTTCATAGAATTTTTATTCATTATTACTTTTGTCAGATTCAAATTATTTCTGTGACCACTGTGGGTTCTTCTTTCATTAACCGAGGGCTACCAACAATTTTGTGTGTGTGTATGTGTGTGTGTGTGTGTGTGTGTGTGTACATATTATAGATTGTCCCTGTTTTGTTAAATCACAGATTCTAGTAAAATTACAGAAAAAAAGTATTAATAATTACATCTTGACTCACCAGTTTTGCCAAAACAATGCATAACCCCCAAAACTAGATGTCTGCAAGTTGACAAATAAAGTTATATATTCTTGTACAACATCCATCTATCCATCATCTATGTACCGCATAATCCTCACTGGGGTCGCGGGGAGCTGGAGTCTATCCCAGCTGACTTAGGGTGAAGGCAGGAGACACCTGTATGTACAAGAGCCGAATTAGAAAGTTGCACAATATGGACGTTTTCAAGTAAAATCTTTAAACTGTGCTTAACAAAATGCACTTTCCTCCATGACATTCACACCTAGCCACAAAATACCCCAACGAACCCCATAGTGGCAGTAGGGGGAGGAGCAACAAACCCCCAATTGAAACCAAAACTCAGGTGTTAATGGCTCCTTAAGGATATAAGTATCTGGAGCTCCCAACTCATCAGTCAGAACTGATGAAGCCTCTTGGATGAGAGGTGAAACGTCTTCAAGGAACTCAAGCAAGTCCAGTTGCTACCATTAATCTACGAGAATGTCCTCTGCTGGGATTTCCTTGTACACTTTCTACTGTCAAGATGTTCTGCTTGAGAACTGTCATTGTTCAAGGTTTGATCACTACTGTTAAACGCTCAGACCTTCTGCAGGTGCTCAAACTCCAATTAAAGGTTAAAACCAGGTTGGACTCATTCACGTTGACAGGACTTGCATTGGTAGGACTCACATTGATTGGCAGGGCTCGCACTGACACAACTTGCATTGATAGTACTTGCATGGACAGGACTCAAATTGACAGGATTCACATTGACAGGGCTCTGTGGTGACGCTCCACCAGGACACTAGGCGTCCCTGTGTTTTCTTTTGCAGACGCTGGATGAAGCCATCAGTAAATGAGCCACACCGGGGCCCAGTGGCTCTGCTTAGAAAACCTCCCTCATTCTCACTCCCTCAACTTCTCAGCTGATTTCCCGTCTTGCTCTCCACTTGCAGTTTCAATGGACCAAAATGGCTTCAGCAAAATGCCAAACTTGTTTGTTTATTCCTCAGTTTTTACATCTCACTGCTGCTATAACCTGCAGTGGTCCTGGCCTTTGATAAAGACGTGCAGAGTGCCTTTTTGGGGGCGAAAAGTAAGTTCCCAAAACATAAATCGTTCCATCTTAGAGTGAAGAAAGTTGAAGTTTAGGTTAAGGTTGCAGTCGATCATGTGTGTACTCATGTATGAGGATATGTTGTTTAGCAGGCTGAGGACTTTCAGGAAGAGTCTGCAGGCTCTTGATTTAATCTTTTGCAGAGATAAGAGTTCTTTGGTCCACTGACTGCCAGCATTGCTTTTCTATTGTCGTCTTGTTTGTGTCGCCATTATGTCTTACTGGTTTCTACTTTTATTCCCTGCATTTCTTATGTTATTTTATTTTTTCTGAGCAATGTCCTGCACAAGAATTTCCATTTGGATTAATAGAGTCATCTTATCTTACTGAACTTTGGTTTACTGTTCTGTTATTGTAGACAATAAGCGATGAGTGAAAGGTCTAAGGTGGAAATATTATCTACATGTGTAAGACATTTATTGTAGTGTATAAATGTTTTTAAAAAGCACTCTATAAATATCATCATTATGGTTCAGGGGTTAGCATGGGCACTCGGAAACACCACATAATAGCTGCTGTTTCAGAAATACGCTGACCCAGTCGTGTAGTCATCACAGTTTAGTCCTCATCAAAAGTCTCTGCTGTCTAATACATCGAACCCACTGACATGCAGCTGAAATGAGATCATATTGTTTACTTCACTCATCAGTGATTTTGATGTTGTGGCTTATTGATGTATATGAGGATCCTTAATGGATATATGACAGAACGAGGGCCGTACTGGCAGCTCTACATGGGCACAGTGCCTATAAAGGATTCACCCCCACACAGGTGCAACCAGTTGGTGTTAGAAGACACATAAATAGTGAAATGGAGATCATCTGAGTGTAGTGAATGTGTCTCAAGGGATTGTAGTACCTGGAAGGTCCAGTCACTGGTGAGTCAGTCCTCCTGGGTGTGACATTATGAAGACAATAGAACATTTTAAGGAACTTTGTGAAAAGTAACAAAAATAAAATAAAAAAAAAATCACAAGTCAGGGACTGATACAGGAAAACTTCCAGTATAAATATCCTTTGGAGTACAGTTAAATCCATCATCCAGGAATGGAAGGAATCTGGTGCTTGTAAATCTGCATCGAGCAGGCTGACCATAAAAAACAGAGACAGGAGGCCACCAAGACCCTTATGAGTCCCTGAAGGAGTTACAGGCTTCAGCAGCTGAGATGAGAGAGACAGTTCATACAACAACTGTTACCCGTTCTTCACCGTTCAAAGCTTTATGAATGAGTGGCAAAGATAAGTCCACTTGAAAAGAGGTCCCATTAAATTTCAGCTTGAGTTCACCAGACGGCATATGAGAGATTGTAAAGTCAACTGGAAGAAGGTTCTTTTGTCTGATGAGACCAAAATGGACCTTTCTGGCCATCAGACTAGATGCTGTGTTTGGCAGACACAAACACTTCACATCATTACAAACACACCACCCCCTACATGGTGAAGCATGGTGGTGGCATCGTGATGTGGGGATGCTTCTCAGCAAGAGGACTGAGAGTGCTTATAAAGGTAGAGGGTCGAATGAATGCAGTAAGGTATAGGGAAATCCTGGAGGACAATCTGATGCAGTCAGAAAGAGAGATGTGACTTTGGACATTTGTTTTCCAAAAGAGACATGAACCTGAAGCATACGGGCAAAGTTACATGGAAATGGTTCAGAGACAACCAGGTGAATGTTTAGTCTTGTGTGTTAAGTGTTAAAGCTATTTTTTGGACAGTAATACTTTGCTGAATATTGTAAATGATTAAAAAAATCAGATTATCTAAAGAATGTGAGTGTGCTTGTTTGTCTCTCTGTGTAGCCCTGTGATAGACTGCTGACCTGTCCAGGTGTCCCTGCCTTCACCTTGAGTCAGCTGGGATAGACTCCAGCCCCCCGCAATTACAGTGACGATTAAGTGGTGTATAGACAATGGATGGATATTATCTCAAGTATTGTGTTTCACTAGATTTCATATAAACATATATCTAGAATATGAATACATTGTTGCCGTACATATAATTGCATTTCTCTAACAGAATCACTTCCCTGCACCTTTTCCAGTGATATATGGTGTAAATTAATATCTCTACATTGACAAAGTTGTGAACAGAAGTGTTATTTTTATCAAAATGTCAAAGTATTCTGCAGCTAAAAAACATGAGCACAGAACACGTTTTGACAAAAAAGTCCAAACACGGTACCTGGCAAAGTGGTTTCTCATGCCCCCTTTCCACTAAGAAGAACCAGGTGCTGATGCTAGTGCCAGTGCTTAGTTAGTTCCAACCTGGCACCTCCTAAGAACCTGTTTGCTTTTCCATTGGCAAGGAGCCAAGTTAGAGCCACGACATACGCCACTGCATACGTAGCTGTTTATCGAACAGCGCTCGCGCCACACGGAAGTCCACACAGGACTCCAGACTAAGTTTCTGTGGGACCAACTTTCTCATTTGTTCACACTTCTCACAGCAGAACATATCAATTTACTGATGTTCCCTGAACGCCCCACATAGCAGGCTGCAGTAGCTGCTGTTGGTGGCCGCGGTGCTCAGACCAAAAATGACTTTAAAAAGAGTAAACTAGGGCGTTCTAATGTCAGATTTGTCAAAGATGAAAGTGATGTTTTCTTACATTGGTGTGCTCATGAGAAGACCGCACACCAAAGTAATAAAAGCACTGTTTTCCAACACTGTGGTGCTGCTGGTGGGGCACAATTGCATCAGATTTCATTGTGCAACAGTTTGTGCAAAACTTCCGTGTGTCCTTGGACTCATTCCAGTACATCTGCGATGGGACCAGGATGTCCTGGTGAAAAACACCATAAACCACCACTTGTGTGTCCCATTCTGTGTTTCCATCATTCTCGCTGGTCATGATAACCCCGCCCCCAGCCCCTGATGTAGTCGGTTTTTAGCTCTGGCACAGCAAAGAGTTTCTACAAGAAACAGAAAGGACTGGTGCCAAGTCAGGCACTAGCACACAACTAGCACTGGAACTGGTTTGGTGGAAAACGGGTATTACAGGAAAGACAGAGCATACACCAGAAAAAGTTTTATTGACATGTCATGCAGGAAATGAACATTGCTCCTTTGGGAGGAGACAGCAGAAGCGCATGTTATGTGATTCACCTTTAGACTAACCTTCAGACTGCTACTGAAAGACAGCAGCTGCAAGACAGAATACAGAAACTCTGGAATAGCAGCTGCCAATTCAAACAGATTTAAGGACAAACAAAATCAAAGTCTTCATGAGAGTGCGGATTGGATTCATACTGACTTTTTTTAAATTATTTTTTTTATTTTTGTGCTTTGCCTGGTTTGTTTTCAGCTTCACTCATTTTGAAAATGGCTTCTCAATCTGAAGAGGATTTTTCCTGTCCCATCTGCCACGACATCTTCAAAGATCCTGTCGTCCTGACGTGCAGCCACAGCTTCTGTAAAGCCTGTCTGCAGACATGGTGGAGAGAGAAGCAAACACAGCAGTGTGCAATTTGTAAGAGAAGATCATCAAGGAGCAATCCACCTCGTAACTTGGCTTTAAAGAACCTGTGTGAGGCTTTTTCACTGAAACAAGATCAGAGAGCTGCTGCAGGATCCGAGGCTCTCTGCAGTCTGCACTCTGAGAAACTGAAACTCTTCTGTCTGGATCATCAGCAGCCGGTGTGCGTCGTCTGCAGAGACTCAAAAATACACAACAAGCACAAATTCAGACCCACTGATGAAGCTGCTCAGGATCACAGAGAGGAGCTCCAGAAATCTCTGAAACCCATAAAGGAGAAACTAAAGCTATTTAAAAAAGTTAAAGGAAACTATGATCAAACAGCAGAACACATTAAAGGCCAGGCTCTACACACAGAGCGGCAGATAAAGGAGCAGTTTAAGAAGCTTCAACAGTTTCTACAAGAGGAAGAGGAGGCCAGGATCACTGCTCTGAGGGAGGAAGAGGAGCAGAAGAGTCAGAGGATGAAGGACAAGACTGAAGCTCTGAGCAGAGAGATAGCATCTCTGTCAGATACAATCAGAGCCACAGAGGAGGAGCTGAGAGCTGAAGACGTCTCATTCCTGCAGAACTACAAGGCTGCAGTGGAAAGAGTCCAGCAGCGCCCCCTGCTGGATGATCCACAGCTGCACTCAGGAGCTCTGATAGATGTGGCCAAACATCTGGGCAACCTGAGCTTCAACATCTGGAACAAGATGAAGAGGATGGTCTCCAACACTCCTGTGACTCTGGATCCAAACACTGCTTATTGCAGACTAATCCTGTCTGAAGATCTGACCAGCGTGACTCATGGTGAGAAACAGCAGCTTCCTGAAAACCCAGAGAGGTTTGATTCTTTCACCGCTGTTCTGGGCTCTGAGGGCTTTATTTCAGGGACTCACAGCTGGGATGTTGATGTTGGAGACAGTTCAAACTGGTCTCTGGGAGTGACAGCAAAGTCTGTCAAGAGGAAAGGAAAAATCCAATCTAAGCTATTGGGAATCGAATTTGCTAACGATGAATATAAAACTGTCTCTCTGCCAGCAAAGTCAAAAGTTCTCGTAGTGGAGGAGAAACTTGAGCAGATCAGAGTCAGTTTGGACTGTGACAAACAGAAGCTGTCCTTCTCTGATCCTTACACTGACATACGCATACGCTCAATCAGGTATGACTTCAATGGGAAGCTGTTTCCATACATCAACAATAGAGATAAAGTCCCAATAAAGATTTTGCCAGATGATTATGATGATGATGATGATGATGACGATGATGATGACGATGATGATGATGATGACGATGATGATGATGATGGGGATGATGGTGATGACGATAATGGTGACAGTGACAACACTGATGCCAGTGATGATGATGATAATGAGGATGATGAGGATGAAGATGAGAATGATGAGGATAAAGATGATGATGATAGCTATTCAGATTAGAGTTGTTAGACAGCACAGAAACATTGCAATGTGCTTCTTACATTAATTTGGTTGAAAATGCTAAAACAATGTGTGTGCTAAAGCAGACAGGTGACAGAAGAACACCTCAGCCAAACATGTGACCCTCCACTGATGATCCTATCATATTAATTCTGCTGTCGGTCATTTTAGTTTATTTTGTGCATTTTTATTTTTGGTGAACATTTAACAGATGATGTTTGTTTGTCTTTTAATTTGTAACTCAATGTATTATTCTTAATGTCTTCAAATATTTTTATCTATAAAGAAGGAATTGTGTTTAGATTTACTGCTAATTTTAGTTGCTTTCTCGTTTTGGGTTAATGTGTTGAAATGACTTCATATGAGTCACAAGGTTTTGCTGCAGATGTGTAAGAAAACATCTGTGATGTTGCCACTTGAGACAGAAATAAAATGTGTGTCTGTGATAGATGAGGGTGTCATCTGCACCGTCATTTGTCCCTGGCTCTGCATCACTGTGATGTCACCGGGACAATTACTGATCTGATTGGACACACACACACACACACACACACACACACACACACACACACACACACACACACAGGCAGCGTGTCTTTCTCTGTTCCTGAAAGTGATTTAGCATTCCGAGGTAAGTGGCTAATTTTAGCACGATGACACATCCTACCTGCATATGCGTGTGTGTGTGTGTGTGTGTGTGTGGTGAGCAGGACATTAGCTTGTGATGATTTCAGCTGAGTTGAGCTCAAACTGGACTGTAAACTGCCTTGAGATAATTTTAAACTCTGTTATGATGCGATTGACACATGCTGCAGTGGTGGGAAACACTAAGGATTAGAGATTAAAGATGCCTTCATCATCAATGTACATGAAAATGCAATGAAACTCTGTTGGCAATCTCTTACAGTGGCAGTATGAATCATAGTGGACCCTGTTTGGAAAATGTCTCATTATATTTATACATATCTCTCTCTATATATAAACTCTAATACTTACAGGAGTATGTACACAATAGCAGCAGTAATGTAATGAGCAGTAAGGTGCATTTATAAAGTGTCCATTGTTCAGTTATTTATTTTAGAGTGATGAGTTCAGGCTCTCTGCTGGGGAAGAAGCTGTTCCTCAGTCTGTTTGACCCACAGACTGTATAAGAAAGATGGACGTAGCTACCGTGACGTCACCCGTTGGTATGGTTTCTGCAGATAGTACTGATCAGCAGATAGAAACTAAACCAAGCTAACCATATACCACAGAACACTGATACTGATTGATGTTAATCTCTCAGTTCAATGAATGAAGCTCAGTTCAGTTCATGTCTCTGTTCTCTGGTTTTTAACAGCTTCTGTTCATTTCACTGAGACAAATATCTGCTGAGATGATTCCTTCTCTTTCAGAAACAGTGAAGCTACTGAGGTCTGATCACCGTGACATGAGCATCACACTGAACCTCAGAGTTCAGCCACAGTTACTGTAATTTAATGTAAATCAGTCCAGCAGACTGTTTCTCTACTACAGTGTTTTATCAGATTACTGAGGAGCTCATGTAATCAGAGGGCTGTTTTTCCTTTTTCTCTATTAATCACATTATCATACTTGGGAATAAAAACAATCAACTTTATTGTCCTTCTAAGGCAGTAAAATGTTCCTTTGCATCATCCAGGAAAACAAACATTTCCTTAAGATTAAAAAATGTTATAATATCTGGTTTGACCGGGTGTGAGTCTGCCTGAGGGGAGGGAGGTGAACTGGGGGTGACCGGGCTCTTTCCTCATGTTGACGGTTCATCTGCAGAATCTGCTCGACTAAATGTGACCCAGTTTTTGCACTGACGAGCCAACAATCCACTGAGCCGTCTCGATGACGTGCTGCTTCTTTTCTGTAGAGCTTGAGTACCAGAATGTACACTGTAAGTCAGCCCACTCTTTATTGTGCAGCAGTACAAGTTCTTCTTGATGAGGTGGGAGGTGTTTGTTCTCTCTGTTGGCCATTCAGAATGAAAAGCTCACTCTCAGTCCATCAGGTTTATTTGCTATTCAAGCTGCTTCTACTCAACTCTAAAATATCTCAAAGCTCACAAAATGTTGCTTGTAAGAGTGGTCACAAGAGTCTCCATGCACTCTCGGCATGTGAGGAACTGAAGACTCAGTGGATTACCGTCATTTTCGGACTATGAGCACACCTGAATATAAGCAGCACCCACTAACTTTAAAAAGAAAATAATTGTACATATATAGGTCGCACATTAAGCCGCAGGTGTCCACGTTGCAACATGAGATATTTACGCAGAAAGATGTTACACAGAAAGATTTTTTAAACTTTTAATTAAATAGCTACCAGTAACATACACAAATACATACAGTAAATGCTTTTTTTTCCCCCCGAACAGTGCCTGTAACATAAAAAAAATAAATAAAATACAGTAGCCTAATAGAAAAAGTCATTGATCGCTAAAGTCGTCTTCTTCAGTGTCAGAATTGAACAGCCTCAGAATCACTTCGTCACACACTTCCTCAGTCTCTCTTTCGCTGTCGCTCTCAATGTCACTTTCATCTTGAGGCAAATTCATAAAAATTGTAAAAGTCCATAAATTAGCCACATCATTGTTTTAACTGCAGTGTTCAAAGCGTGTGAAAACAGTAGCAGCTTATAGTCCAGAAATTACGGTACTTTTTTTGGGATTGAAACATCACTACAGCAGCTGGACTTAGTGTTGTGCAGCTAATGCGGCTAACGTCACCATTAGCTTTAATGGTATCGCCACAGTTCAGAGCTCTGTGGGAATTGTTGGACGTTCAAAAATGGTGGAAAATTTAATTTGGAAGAAGGAAATTTAGAAGTAATAGAAAGTTCTGATCTCACACAGTCACTCACGTCCGTGTCAGGACACCAAATATTTCATTGTTCTAAATGTGAGGATTTGCTTCTTGTTTTTTGTAAACATTTCAGCTGCTTTTTTTTTTTTTTTTTTCTTACATTTTGGAGGTTTAGACTGTTGGTTAAACAAAAGAAATATTGTGTAGATGTTCACTTTGGGCACTGTGGTTATTGTGAAGAAAATGTTCCACTATGACCAAAACATCTGCAAACCAAGAAAAACAACGAAACAAACAAACAAACAACAACAACAATAGAACAAACAAAAAAATAGTATGTGTGATAGTACAACAGTGACAGAAGTGGCCTTGAATGTGTCATAACCTGGCTCGTGGGTGAGAACAAATAAGGCAAGGAACACAGCTTTAACTCAAAATAAGGACATTTATTATAACCAAAAGCAAACCATTTAACAAATGATAATAAGCATGGCGTGTGGCTATCAGTAGTATCAGTAGTGTTGGTGTGAATGAGTGAACATGATGGGATGTGAGGTGTTGTGGGGCAGAAACAAAGCAAAAAGGTAACAGAGAAAGACGTGTCACCACCAACGGAGCCGGGTCAGAATCAATGAGCGAGAGAGCAACTTTATGGGCCGTCCTGATGCCTTCAGGGACCAACAGGTAAACGGAATTCTAGGCCTCAGTGGTAGCAGCTGACATTGGGCCGTCACAAATGCTTCTCCCACCGCTGCAAATGTTTAACAAGTGACCCAAAAAAAATCTAGTGACAGAAAAAAAAGCATTGCTTATATCAGCAAGCTAGTGAATGAGTCAGCTGTAGCAAACCTTTCATCCCATCCACCGTGATTAAAGGAATTTTTCAAAACACTCTTTTACCAAATGTTTGATATTTTTGACAGAGAAAGGGATCTTTATGTGATTTCAGCGAACTCCACAACATCTCTTTAAGTGGAATCAAACCGGCCGACCAGTGGTTATTTGTTCTGAAAGATGCTTCAATGTAAAATGTGAGCCCAGTAACACCTTGTGCTGCTGGTTTCAGAGACTAAAGCCACAAGCTGTCTGGTTAATCACATAGCACATGAAAAAGAATATTACCTTGTTTTGTTTCCATTAGGAGGGTATGGATGTGTTTCTCTGTGCTTGTAGGGACAGGTGTGCAGTTTTCCAGGCAGCCAGTTGATAAGATAATACATAAAATGGCAGAAACAAGAGCTAACATCTGAATCTTTATGGGCAGAGACTTCCTGAACGATTTCCTTTACTGCAGTTTAAGAGTCTAACATTAAAATTTAACACTGCTTATACAAGTATGGGGACATTTTATGACGTTGTGTGACTCACACCTTGTTACTGCAGCAGTTAAACAGTTAAGGAAACACTGAGCATGAAAACTGTTACGACTCCTGATCACACAGCAGCGGTCGCAGCGCAGGTGAGTCACATTAAAGGTGAGCTGATAATGTGAAGTATGACTAACCTGCCTGTTATCTAAAACTAAACAGCGGCAGAATAAAGGAAGTTCAAGACCATGAGAGTCCAACAGATAACGGAGGGATCCGGAGGAAAAAAGAGCATCTGGCTTTCTGTCAGAACTTTAAACCATTTTAAAGAGATTCTTTATCTCAGTGAGGCTTTTCTTGGGTAAATAAAGGCTAAATGGAAAGTAAAATATATATAAGTTCAAGCTTTTGGTCAGTTTTTAAAATGGATTCATTATTTCAATGCACATTTTGTGTACGTAGAAACCAACAAAAGCTCATTTCAATGTCTAACTGAAAGGACAAGTGAAGATCCGGGAAGACAAGAAGAGCTTTTATAAGGTGTTAAATTTTATGCTTTCACATTAAAGCTTTTCTTGTCAGCTCTTAAAGTGAGTTGTTCTTTGGCACAATGAACAATTTCAAACTTTATTGTCAACGTTTCTTTTTAATCGACTTTGTGCAAAAGGGATGTTTGGAGTAACAAACCCATAAAGCATTTTCATCAACGAAAGTTCCCAGCGGTACTTGAACTACTCATTAAAATGACTTTATTCTCCACATCTCAAATAAAACATTTTACCTAAAATATACCATTTGCTCTAACCAGCTTTGTCAAGACAATAAAAAATGATGCAGCCCCTTGAGTGAATCAGCTGTCATCAACAGTCAAGTGACAAAGATTCTGGGACTTTTTGGCTGAACTGTGTTTACACAGAGCAGATCGGAGGCAAATATGGAAAAAGAAATGTTAAAACGTCTGTCGTATGTAGAGTCACTTTTTGTTTTAGTTTAACCTTTTACATGTTAATCTCAGGGTTTTTCTCTTTTTTGTGTGAAATTAACAATCAAAGAAATCCAACTTTCATTTAGATTTTCCTGTTTTATGGCGTCGTACTTGTGTCAAAGGAGATGTTTGAGTTCTCTTTCCTTCTAGTCATGGTTGTGCTGTTTTCATAGAGACACAAGGCAACAAAAGATGAGGCCACAGTGAGTAAAACTGTGTCAGGAGCAAATAAAAAGAAACACCCAGGAACTGTTTGGAGGTCAGAGGGTTAAAACAAACAACATGAAACTGAGCACAGTTTGGAGCCACAGCAACAAGTTGGAATACTTCAATAATTTACTTCAG